TTTCCTCTCGAGAAATTCCTCAAAGGGGCCCCAATGGGAAGTGCTAACACTACTGATAAGGGCTACTGATAAGGATAGCGTACCTACGAGATGGTAACCCAAAAAAGAACCACATGATTTAAAGCAATTACTAAGTATATTAATGCCAGAACATAATAAAATGAGCATAATAATAATAATGATCATAATAAATAAATGAATTTAAAGGTACTTTAGTGACAGATATTTGATTTAGCTTAGAGAGAAAAGACATTCTACTTATCTGAACGCTCCGTCTTAGTGCTGCAAAAGATTGCAAGGAAGACAAGACCCCCAGGTACAGGAGAACTCCCGGCCTTGAGAACGAGACAATGCAGAGGATATTCGCGAAAATTTTCTTAAATAAATGAAGATTTTCCGGAAAACACCTTTGAAAATTCAGGAGCTCTTCCAAGATCCTGCCTCCATCGTACGTGATCACTGTCGCGAACGACGCACGCTCCGCTCTTGGGGAACGGATTGAGCCTCCAGACCGACGAGAATTGAAAAAGAAAGTTTGTTTTTTGAGAACTGGCAACGATAAGTGTATGCTTTTAGAACAGTGACGCAGTAGACTAATGACGCTGTTAGATATGTAGAACAATGATGCTAAGTAGTTAGAAGTGTTTTTTGATAGTGTAATGATCTAGATATTGTTCCTCTTTTGTGTTAAATGTCAAATAAAGTGATTCATTCAAAATACTGCCAATTTTAGATGAGTTTGGAACCAAATCGGAGTCTACTAAAGCGGCGGATCAGAATCGAAGAAAGCGGATCATAAAGGTAAGCAACCTTTCTTTATTTGCTTATCAAGAATTTTGAATGATCTGTTTTTTACTAATGAACATTGAATTTAATGTTTTTTTTTGAAACGATATAAATTTATTGGCACCCGAACAGGGACCACCGATGTAGACTATATTGAAGTGAAAGATTTAGGAATGTTTAAAAAATATCTTCTTTTGATTTGAGAAGTTTATTTACGATTTGAGAGTACTGATTTTTAATTTGAAATATTTTCTATCTGAAATATTTAAACATGTCTACTACTAAAATAGAAGAAGAAATAAAATAAAGAAAAGACGAACTGTAGTTAGGAGTATGACAACAAAGTTGATAAATAATTGTAAAGAATACCTCCAAGAAACAGAACACGATTTGTGTATTCTTAATGAAAATATTGATTTATTAGATTCAAAATATAACAGCCTAAAAGAATTAGATAAACAAATACAAGAATTAATTGAGGGCTACTGAATATGAATCGGAATTTGAAACTTGTGAAGTTTATTCCGAGAAAATAATTTCCATGAAATCGAAACTAACATTTATGTTAAAAGAGAATAGAAACCTGAAATTCCTGTTTCGAATACAATTGGTAATATTGTGAATAATGATATTTCAAATATTTCTGTATCTCATTCAAAAATTAAATTTGCCTAAATTATCGATCAATAAATTTTAATGGCGATCCTGTTAATTGGTTATCATTTTGGAACCAGTTTGACAAATGCGATACATCAGAATAGTGATTTAACAGATAACAGACAAATTTAATTATTTGATTATCATTTTTATCAGGTGCGCTGCTTGTAATGCTGTTAGTGGTTTTGCATTATCAAGTGAAAATTATTTTCACCGCAATCGAGTTACTTAAAAACACGCTTTGGTCTAGAACAAGATTTAATTATAAATGCACATATGGGAAAACTGCTAAATTTAGAAACTGTTAGGAATGCTAACAACATATTTGCATTACGTAAGTTGTATGATGATATCGAAATACAGATAAGAAGTTTAAAATCACTTAATGTAACTTCTGGTACATATGGCACGTTATTGACACCAGTTTTATTAAAATTAATTCCGAATGAACTGAATCTTGATTTCCAAAGAAAAAGGAAATCGAAAGATAATTTCGATGTAAACGAATTATTAGAGTTCTTGAAAACGGAAATTGAGTGCCGCGAATCCATGCTACAAATTCAAGATAAAAAAACAACCATAATTCGAGCCACTTTCCTAAAGAAAAAAGAATAAATAAAATTTCTATTCCAACGGCTGCTGTGTTAAAGGTTTCAATTAACAGCAGCATATTTTGCGAGGATTCAGAAAAAAGAAAAACATACTTCCGAAGCTTGCCCGAAGTCTGTAACAGACAGAAAGGCGTCACTTCGGAAGCTCGGAATGAATGTGTTATTTATGCCTTAAAAGGGGTAACCATTTGGCAAAAAATTGCTTTTCGAAGTTAAAGTATGTGATTCATGCGGTGGGAAACACAATAGTGACACAACAGTTTAATCTGTGACAAAAATAGTTTAGATGAGAAAAAATCAAATAAGAAGGATCTCAATTTGACGAAACAAAATCATGTTTAGAGAAAGTTTTATTACAAACTTTAGTTGTAAGAGTGCGTGGCAAATGGTCCAGAAAAATACTGCCGGTGTTTAATTGATTCTGGGAGTCAACAATTGAAGCTATGTGTATCTAAATTTTTAGCTAATGCTATGCAGTACGAATGTATTAACGAAAGCAGTGTGATTCATAGTCTGTTCGGAGAAGAAGGAACCGAAGTGGTTGAAACTCATAAACAGTTCGTTGTACGTTTAAGTAGTATTAAAAACGATTATCAGTGTAACTTCAAAGCTTTTGATCAAGCGAAATATTGTTCTGATATTCCACAATTGAACATCAAGCCTTATTTTAAATGAGTTAAAAATCCCATAACATATTTTTGAATGATGATGAAAGGTAGGCACATAAAAAAATTGTTGTTCGAGCATTCTCCTTCTGAAATTCATATCCTCATAGTCGCAGACATAGCGGGAAAATGCTTACAGGGAAAATAAAGAAGTTAGAATGTGGATTAGTTTGCATTGAAACTTATTTAGGGCTGGAGTATCATGGGGAAAATTCCCGTAGAAATGGAAAATAAATATGATTGTTCTTATGCATTTTCTATGTTAGTATCAGATAGTAAAATTTCTGATTTATGGAAACTTGATACTCTTGCGATATTAGACCCTTCAGAAAGTCAAACTAAAAGGGAATTAGAAAAACAAACAATGACACATTTTCTTTCCAATGTGAAAAGAGATGAAGAAGGAAGGTTTCAAATTTGTTTACCTTGGATTGAAAATCGTTCCCTACTTCCAAACTATCGAGAAATAGCAGAAAAGAGATTAAAGAGCACAGTGAAGAATTTAAGGGATTGGGGATTTTTAGAAGATTATAAAGCAATTTTTAAATCTTGGGAAGATGATAAAATAATAGAGATTGTTCCTGAGGAAGAAGTTAATAACCCCTCTCATTATTTACCCCATCGTGCTGTTATTCGAATGAATTCCACCACGACAAAAATAAGACCGGTTTTCGATGGATCCGTAAGAACTAAAGGATCACCTTCCGTAAATGACTATTTGGAAAAGGGTCCAAATTTGATTGATACTGTTCCAGCTATAATAAATAGATTTCGACTGGGAAAAATTGGCGTGAGCCCTGATATTAAGAAGGCTTTTCTGCAGATAGCACTTAATCCTAAAGACAGAGATTATTTAAGACTTTTATGGTGGGAACAGGGAAATTTTGAGCGTTTGAAAATATACAGGCATAGAAGAGTGGTCTTTGGAATAACCAGCAGTACATTTCTCTTAAATGCAACACTAACGAAATTAATGAATGAAGTACCAGAAAATTATCGTGCGAGTGCTAATAAATTAGTAGAATCCTGGTACGTTGATAATTTAGTTACAAGTGTGAATGATGAATCAGAATTAAAGAAGTTAAAAAATGATGCCATTGAAATTTTGGCAAGTGCTAAATTTGAATTACAAGAGTGGGCATATAACTATCCTCGAAATAAAAGGAATGCATTTGTTGTTGAACCCATTTTAGAACAGTCGAAGCTTGATAAATTAAATGAGAATGAGTTTGGGACTTCTTTGGAATTTGCATGATGACACATTAAGTTGTGATATTAAGGGATTAAATGAATCAAAAAACAAACCTGTTACTAAAAGAACAATTTTGTCTGAAATTCATAAAATTTATGACCCTATTGGATTCACCTGCCCTATAATTTTAATTCCTAAAATTCTGTTACAAAACTGCTGGGAATTAAAAGTAACTTGGGATGAAGAAATTCAAAGGAAATACATGAAATGGAAAAATGATGCAAATCGTTTAACAGAAATAAAAATTCCTCGACAGATGATGCTTAATATTGATTCTGAATTGAAATTATCCTTTCATATATTTTGTGATGCATCTCGAATGGCATATGCAACCTGCGTTTATTTAAGAAATGAAAATGAAAATGAAGTTTCTTGTCATTTAGTTCAAGCACGATCTAGAGTTGCTCCTCTAAAACCCACATCAATTTGTAGACTAGAATTATTAGCTTGTGTTGTATGGTGCAAGCTAATAATTCTAGTCTACAAATTGATGTGCAAGATTAATGAAATCTATAAAACAAGATTTGAAGGAAAATAATATCCCTACGTTTTGGACAGATTGAACAGATTTAAGGAACGCACTGTACTGGATTAAGAATAATGAAGAAAATTGGGGTGTTATTTGTTATGAATAGAGTAAAAGAAATACGAGCTCTTACTAATACTGATGCATGGAATTACGTTCCTGGCAACTTGAATCCTGCGGATATTCCTTCAAGAGGATGTTCTGTTGAAAACTGTTAAAGCCCAAAGATGGTATGAAGGTCCAGCATGGTTGAAGTTGAATTCCAGACTGTTGGCCTACTTGTGATATTTCTCCTGACAAAAGATATGATTGATCGAGAAAGAAGAAAAACAGTTATATCCTTCGTTAACAAATGTAGATGAAGAAGAATTTTCGCATTTCTCAACGAATTTCTTCTTTTGAGAAAATAATTAGAGTTACAGCCTGGAATAAAAAGGTATATATTGACAACTGCAGAGATAAAAACAGAACAAAGTCTAAGAACTTAGAAATCGAAGAATTGAATGAAGCTGAAGCCCTTGTTTGGAAAATTGTGCAAAGGGTCTCCTTTAAAACAGAAAACAGAAAAGGATAAACGCTTACGAAATTTAAAACCATTTGTTGATTCATCTGGTCTTTTAAGAGTAAAGTCAAGAATATTAATGAGACAAGACTTCGAAAATCTTAGAACACCTGTAATTCTACCTCCTGAACATCCAGTTGTCTCTAAACTGATTATGGAAAAACATGAACAACAAATACATTGCGGAACTCAAACTTTAATGGCAATGCTACGAGAAAATTTCTGGATTTTGAAAAGTCGTAAAACTATTCGTAAAGTGTTGGAAAACTGCACTAAATGTAGAAGATTTGATTCGAGGCCCTCCACGGGTACAATTCCGCACCTTTGCCAAAAGGACCATGTTAAAGATTCTTCTATCTGTTTTGAAGTGACAGGTATCGACTTAGCTGGACCCTTTGTTTTTAAAAAAATGGAATCGAAAACGTGGAATCGTTTTATTTACATGTGCCTGTATACAGGGCAATTCATCTTGAACTTTTAACGTCTTTGTCAACAGATAACTTTTTATTGGCTTTCCGACATTTTTATAGCACGCAGAGGAAGACCTGAAATTGTCTACACTGATAACGGTAGTAATTTTATTGGTACAAATTCGCTCTTAAAATGACTGACTGGGATAAACTTATTAAAAATCATGTTGTCAACCGCATTAAGTGGAAATTGTATCCCACCAGCTTCTCCCTGGTGGTGGGGTGGATTTTGGGAAAGAATGATTGGCCTGATGGAAAAAACATTCTCAGAAAAGTTTTAGGTAATGCCTCACTGAAATATGAAGAACTCTCTATGATCCTCTGTGATTGCGAAAATATCTTAAATTGCAGACTCATTAACTTATATTTCGAGGACTTGGAACTGGAACCCTTGACACCTGCAATGTTTTTTTCGTGATCTAAAAGAAAGTGTGGCGTTCCAGATCTAGATATTATTGATGCCTAAATACTTACAAAAAGGGTATGCGTATCAGATGAAGGTTCAGAGAAGATCTAAGAAAACGGTTCAGAACACTGAATACTTAGGACAACTGAAAAACATACTTTAAAACACAGAGAAATATGTTAAACTATCGGTTGGAGACATTGGGTTAATAGAAACACCTGAGAAAAGAATTAAGTGGACCTCTAGGAAAAATTATAACACTCATCCCAGGAAAATGATGGTATATGGTGTAGTTCGTTTAGTAAAATTACGCACCAAAAGTGGCGAAATCCTTCGACCCATACAACGAAATTTATCCGTTGGAAGTCCATTTACAAACGGATAATCTAGGAGACTGTTTGAGAAAGAAGCATTCTGATCAAAAAATGTGTGATAAGCCTACAACTTCTATTGGATTCTACAGATTTTCGTGCCTACTGACAAAGATCAGTCAGATGAACTCAATCAAGAATCCCCTCAAAACAACTAGATGTGGACGAGGACGAGTGATTCGAATTTCCATGAACGATTAGACCTCATAAACTTTCAACCAGACTGTGGCTGAGTTTCAACTTGGTGAAACTCATCGGGGGGGGGGGAGTGTGTCGCGAAACGACGCACGCTCCGCTCTTGGGGAACGGATTGAGCCTCCAGACCGACGAGAATTGAAAAAGAAAGTTTGTTTTTGAGAACTGGCAACGATAAGTGTATGCTTTTAGAACAGTGACGCAGTAGACTAATGACGCTGTTAGATATGTAGAACAATGATGCTAAAGTAGTTAGAAGTGTTTTTTGATAGTGTAATGATCTAGATATTGTCCCTCTTTTGTGTTAAATGTCAAATAAAGTGATTCATACAAAATAGTGCCAATTTTAGATGAGTTTGGAACCAAATCGGAGTCTACTAAAGCGGCGGACCAGAATCGAAGAAAGCGGATCATTAAGGTAAGCAACCTTTCTTTATTTGCTTATCTAGAATTTTGAATGATCTGTTTTTTACTGAATTGAAACGATAATCACAGCCGCTCGCGGGGTCCAGCTTCTCGTGTGAAAGTCACAGCAGAAAGCCCTTATTCCAAGGAATTACGCTGCGGCACGGTTGCAGGGATAGTTATAACGAAACACTTCTAAAATTGACTGTTGTAAATACGACTGTTGCTATGAGACAGACATTTCTTCTAGATGGTAAGAGGTTAGGAGAGGCATGTAAATAAAGTACTTATGCGCACAAATGTGTAAAACAGCACGCATGATATGCTTGGATGCATGTAGAAATATTTTTCCAAAACAGAACACATATATATCAAGTAGTCACGCATTGAAAGAGAGCTAAAAATAAGAGGAATATTTTTCCTCTTCTTGTAGGAAATGATGCTATTCTCTCAGGTATTAAAAATTTTTTGGTTCATAAGCAAGATAGTAGTCATACATGCCATTTATCTTTATTACTTTTCATATTTTGAACTTAAACTAGATTTAGTAATTTGCAGGAGAATTTTTAAAAACAATATTGAGGGTCAAATGAATTTTAAGCCAATTTGATTGAGAAATATCCTTTTAGGTGCCTCTTTATATAACGTGCTGTCGAAATTTTGTGATGTTTCGTTGTTAGGAAAAGAAAGTTTACCTTTGCAAGGAGACTTCATTTTAATCATTAGAAAGGAATAATGTGGTATTTTTACTTCCTTGTGCGAAGTAAAAAGGAAGTATTGTAATCGCAAAATGTTTCAGGCAGCATATTTCAACGAAAATATCCATTTTGACCGCTATCGAATGCAATTTAACGATGTTTCTGCGTGATTTTTGTACGTAAGGACAGAATAAAATACTTGATTCCTCAAAAAAAGTTATAAAACTGCTTTCAAATTAATCCTGAAGAGAATTTTTCGTGGCGTCAGTACGAACGTATGTACGTACGCACGTACGTATCTCGCATAACTCAAAAACGAGTAGCCTCAGCACATTGAAATTTTGTATATAGGACTGCTATAACATGTAGATGTGCACCTCGTATTTTGGTTGCAATCGGCCGCACCAAACGTATATAAATATATATATATATATATATCCACTCTCTTACCCGGCTCAGTGATCTCAGTTTCTTTACTCGTATATGTTTGTAAATTGTACTTTTTTGCTTTAAAAATGATGAATTGAATTATGTTTGTTTTTTTATCTTCCGGTTAAGGTTTTTATGCCTTTAGTTTAGTAAATCTGTATGCAATATTTTTAGAATTATCAACAATTTTAAAGTTGTTGTTTAAGTGCCGCTAAGCCTTTTTTTATGGCGACCATTGATTGTTTACATTTGAAACAGTAGACCAAGGTTTCTAAATATTTAGTAAATCTAGTTATATATTCACTCTAGTATTTATATTTATTATAAGAAAGTCCATTTTACCAGGATCTTGCAGCAGTTCTGGTCAGCGCTAAATCCCCGAACGCGCAGGGTGGTCACGTGATCGTCGCTTCTATGAGTAAGCCGACGTCACAACGAAGCTTCCGCCCAGCATCAACGACAACTTCGGTTCAATGTAAACGCGGTTTCGCAACTTTGATTCGGAAATCTGAAGTAAGTCTTTGTTATGTGAAGTAAGTCTTTGTATCTGTGAATATGCATGTTTGAACGATTTCGAGCATTATACAACTGAATGGCTTGGTTATGTTTCTCCGTATAAGAAAGCGAAAGAATAAATAGTGATCATTTTTTAGATTGGTCTTATATAGAAAATGTAGTGCACGTAAAAATAATCTTCAGTAAGATATTCTAGAATCAGATATTTTTAATCTCATTTTTACATGATACGATTGCTTTGTCGGTAAAATCCTAGTATACGGGGCAGCCTTGGCCCGATTTTTGAAAATTATCGCCAACACCAAAAATGACCCAAAGAACGTCTATGTATATACTATACACTATATATTATCGCTACATACATACTATATACTATGTATAACTATATATATTCTTTGAATGACCTGTTTACTACTCATCGTATATGTTTCGTTTTTACTGCTCATCATAAAGTCGCCAAAAGAAGCCAAATCCCGTATGCACCGGATACTAGGATTAAACCGCTTCGGTAGTCAAGTTCACTGATTAAGCTAAACTTAGCAAAACTAGGCAAATTAAAAAATCTATAAATTTCTCTTTCAAAGAATATTTAGAATAAAACTGGGATTATGGTAACCTCACAGAAAGATTAATAATTTAATTCACAATGGAACTGTTTTGAATAAAAAAATATATAAACAGTTATCTGTTATTTTGTAACCAGACCTAAAAAATAGATTCTAAGTTTTTGAAAATGCCAATCAACTGCATTTCCATATATTTGCTATTTTTTTCTCATGTCACATCATTCATCATCATGGGAAAACTTGGGAATAAAATTTATATAGTTGCTACTAAAACATCTGTATGTTTTATTGGATTTATGATGCTTGCATAATAACAAATATTTGTCATGCGACCATTCATACTTATGGATAAATATCCAACTCTCATATAACAGTTTATAAATACACAACTAGAAACTGAATTTCTTTGCTCCAGGCAAACTGGGATTTGTGTTTCCTCGCTTTCAAAATCAAATTTTAAATAATTTCCTTGCCAATTCAATAAAGTAAAAAAAAAAAAAAAAAAAAAATAGACAGTTTCTTCTCTGACTTCGCAAATCCAACAGATACATAAATCAGAAATTACAGAAAAAATGACAGTTTTCTATTGAAGCTGAAATTAGGTGCATTTGAGTAAAAATTTTATATGATGCAATTAAAATGTAAAATGAGCAAAATTTCAAGCACATATCTTGTAATACTATTTCTATCATTATCACATTTTTCAAACAAGGAGCTAACATAGTAGAGACATTAGGTACTTTTTGGAAACCGGAGAGATGAAAAACTAGCAATCGCCTTCGTCGGGAATCGAACCACGGACCTCTGGAAACCGGCCCAGTGTGCAGAACCACTACACCACGAAGGACACTTGGAAAGTGGGAGAAATACCTTATAACATGTGTTAAAAAAATTCTGCACAATGTTCCTATTAAAACGTTTATGCTCATTTTTTCTCCAATAAGTATGTTTTTAAAATGTTTGTGTACTTTTATCATGCATTACAAGTGAAACTGAAAAAAATTAATAAATATCAGACTTTATATGTGGCAACACACTTTTGTTCTGCAGTGTTGCCTCTGCTATAATTTTATGAAACACTGCATTTCTGAATATTAAAAAAAATGAATATCAATTGTATAGGCTGCTTCTTTACGAAAGACAAACTAAATGCAGATTCTGCCAAATTGGGAAATAATAGTTTTTTTCTACATATATCAACCATTCAACTTACTTTCTTTGTTTTCAGCATTCATCTTTACTACCTATATGTGGCGTTCCGACAGATACTTCAACTTCTATTCATGAGATGGCGCCACGTGTAAAATCCAAGGAGGTTAGAAGAGAAGGAGGGAGGGTTCGCAGTTTCCTCCACTATCGGGGAACGAAACTCCACGGAACAAGCGGCGTCCATGTTTGTTACTTCAAAACATTGCAATACGGTAG